AAAGAGTGCACCTATGAATACAATTGGAAGTTTCAACTATAATAATGTTTCAAATGGGTAGCATTCCATGTTCGTGGGACAGTGTTCCCCGCAAGTTCTTCAAGCTTATATACCCCATTCTTCAAGTTATGTAATATCCTAAAGGGTCCATCCCAGTTTAGAGCCAGCTTGCCCTGTGCTTAATTCTTTCTCACTTTTCTCGTAACCCTCCAAACTAAATCTCCTAGTTGAAACTCCTGTTGTTTGACCTTGGTTCTAAACTGCCTTGCTAGCCTTGTTCGGCATGCTTCCATGTTGATTAGGGCTCTGTCTCTTACTTCGTCAATGAGATCCAACTCCATGCTTAGTGCTTCTTCTTGAATTGTTATCGTCTTCACTGTGAAGATTCACTGATTTCCACTAGTATCATGGCTTTTGTTCCATATGTTAACCAGAAAGGAGTTTCTTTTGTGGAAGTTTAGGGAGTACACTTGTATGCCCATAGGATTTTCGATAGGTGATCTGGCCAGTTGCCTTTGGCTAGTCCGAGTCTACTTTTTAGTTCTTTCAAGATGACTTTGTTTGTTGATTCAGCCTGTCCATTGCTTTGGGGATGCTCCACAGATGCCATTCTATGTTTAATGTGCAACTCATCAAGGAATTCATTGAAATTTCAATCCGTAAACTACAAACCATTGTTTGTGATTAGGGCATAGGGAATGCCAAATCGGGTGATAATGATTTTCCATACAAATTTCTGAATGTTGTTAGTTGAGATGGTGGCTAATGGTTCTACCTCAATCCAAAATGGTCCATTTCTACCAAGAGGAACTTCAACTGTCCTTTGGCTAGAGGGAATGGTCCTAGAATATTCATACCCAATATGGTGAAGGGCCATGGTGCGGTGATGAAGTGCAGCTCCTCAGCCAGTTGGTGGATCTCTCAAGGAGAAGGCCCTCTCAAGGAAGTAGGGAATACTTTGCACAGGACAGCATCCTCGTTCGTATATAGGCTAGCCTGGGTGATGAAAGTATCAAGTTGCTCATCTAGGTCAGTTGTTTCATCGTACCGATCTAAAGTCAAGTTTTTCAAGTTATCAAGTAGACGGGCGTTTACTATCTCTTGGGTGAAAGGTGTTCTTCCTTGATGTCTTTGCTGGTCTAGTGTGACTGTTGCGAATGCGGTGGGTTGATTGGAGAGTTTGGGATCCCTATACCATCCCGAAGACTCGCCCTGGTCATGCGAACCCCGAGTCGAGGGAATGCTCTAAGAGGATTGCCATGAGCAATTGTCACTTTTGAGTTCAACATTTTCTTTCCTTAGGATGGACAACTCATGAGTGTCCTTTTCCCGAAGTCTCTAGAGTTCCATCATCTCTACTCTTAATTGTTTGATTGCTGAGGATGGGTCAACTATATAAGGTTGATCTTCATTGGACTCTTCTATTTTTTCCCTTACTGCTTGATTCCTTGGTTGTCTTGGTTCTTGTGGCATCCCTAGGTTGGGGATAGTCATGATCTCCTGTTGACTTCTAGTTGCTACCATCTTGTCTCAAAGGGTCAAAAATCGTTTAGGTTTTGGTTCCACGGTGAGTGCCAAAATGTCCCTGTTTAAGAACACTTCCTTATTGATCTTCCTCTTGATGCTTGGTCTTCTTCAAAACTGGGGTAATAATTGCTTGGATCCTTGCTCCAAGTGGTGGGAGGGTACTTGTAAAGACACTTCAACGCTTAAGTGAGTATTCGGTTCAGAGCAATAAATGTTGTAATATTAAATGATCTTGTCTCTCCCTTTTGTCCCATCAATACTTATATTTATAGTGACGTATTTGGGCTTGATAAGCCTTTTGGGTTAAGAGATTAATAACTTGAGTTTTATATCCTGTTGATGTGGATTTGTACTGTTTAACTAAGATTAGGATGATGGGGTTTCTATAGCGAGGAACAAGTCAGCCTTTCTCGTGATTGAATACCCCTTCGGATTATGTATTAACCAAGGGGTACTCGGCTCTAATGACTCCCAGGTTTGTACTTGGACTTCATGACTTGTTCAGGGCTGATTGGGCCACTCGAGTCATGTCAAGGCCCAAGGGGTGCTCGATTTAATTGGAGACCGAAAGGTACCAATACAATGATAAAAAGTCAATTGGTGTGGTGTAATTTCAATATGTTTGGAATACAAAACTATCATGTAAAAATACAACTTAAGGAGATGAAATGAAATTTAAAGATTAAAAGAATATCTCTCGTTTCGTTTCGTGTGTGCATAATTGAATTGGGGCCGTTTAGTAAACTAGGTTATGTACAAGGAACACGTTTCTTTTTGCTTTGTACTATTGGCATTTTATTATTATATAAAGGTGATTAACCTTTTCTTAACAGAAAAAAGAAAGGAAGAGCAGGAAAAATAAGACACAGAATTGACCTGCCAACAATATAAATAGATAGATTACCTGCACCCAAGCACATGGCAAGCCTGCATCAATGCCAGACAAGGTTTGTTTTGCTATGTGGCTAATTTAAATTTTATTACACCAACCTGTATTATAAATTTCATCACTGTTTTATTACATGATACTCCCATATAAGCGTGTGCATATCTGCGGACGTGCGCACAATTCCAATCGTTGGTGGTAGACGACGACAAGGCGTATGACTACCCCATGCTCATTTTTAATGCCTAATACAACAAGTAACTACTTGTCTTATAGATGAAAATCCTTATAAAAATATATCTTCAGTGTATTTCAGTAATACTTATGTCACAACTCACAAGGGAAGGGGGTGCAGGGTGGGGCAGGGATGAAACCCTGTATAATAAGAAACCAGTGAGTTCACGAACACTACCCTTGCAAGAACTTGGTCCATCAGATCCATAATTTGAAATTTTTGGTAGCCTATTTTCATTGTAAACATGTTTTCTATGTATTGGGATATGGAAGTCTTCGATCATATCCCTGATTTCTATGTATATCCCTTTGTTAGTCAAGTATTCAGCTACGTTGTTTAGTAGGTAGTGTACCTGCTGTTGTTCCTTTTTGGGCCTTTAGGCTCTTTAAACAGTCAAAAGAAAGAAAAAAACTATCCTGTCATATTGGGCTTTTCTAACCATAGTTCACATGCCTATCATTATCATTTTCATTTACTTTTTCTGCTCTAGTTTTATATAATTTATCTCTTGATTAAGGAGCAATATATTTAATCCGCCTCCCTAAGTAGGTACTTGTCATTTGTCAACCGTTGGTAAATTATATATTACAACAGACACAGCACGAACATCCCTTTATGCTTAGAGATTCAAACGACTTATACGGTGCTCTAGATACCAATGTACTGTACTTTCAAAAAGTCTACCTCCGCAATTGGTCCAGACGCAGACTAACAAAATGAAAATGGGCATTTCATAGGGAATTTAGTTAATGATCAAAGAATCTGTGAAAATATATCAAACAGAATAAAATATAGGGAATTTTGTTCATGATCAAAGAAAATGGGCATTTCATATTCTTTTTGATCCAGTTCTCATCATATTTTAATCACTATATATGTTTGAGAGCGGAAATAGAGGAAAATATGGCAAACAGAATAAAATATTAAATTTTCAACTAATAGTACGAATAATTATCTTTTTAGGCGAAAATAGGGAATTTGAAGCTCTTTTTTGGGCTGTTTTTTTAAAGGATTAAACGACTTTTTTAAAAAAAGAAACTACAAATTAAATTTTTTTGGTTATATTAGTGTTATAATATATAAATATTTTTATACGGCTTATTTATTTCTTTTTTACTTTCATTAATCCAAATAAATAAATAAATCAGTTTAAACTTTGATTATATTCATTAAACATATTTTTGTATACTTTATTTCCTTTTCATTTCTATCCCCTGTATTTAGTTTCCTCTATTATTCACATCTCATACAAAGAACGCATAAGTGACAGAATACCAGATTACAAAAAATGTGTTGCTATATGCACCTAAGCTTTCTTCTACTGTGCAGTGGGTTAACATTACATAAAATACAGACACCCACGATGTGGGGAGAAAAATGAATGAATTTGAATATGGCACGCGCCTTCTGTGGATTGGAAAGCAACATAACACGTAATCAGCGTGCCAGCTCTCTATATTTCGTGTGTACTCCCAATTTCATAGGACCATGTACAAGTTAAAATATTACCACATTAGATCTCCCATTAGCTAGCCAACATGAAATCCCGTTGACTTGAATGAACTGCTAGACAGATTTGGTAGTTTGAGAGCTGCAATGACACCACCAGCAAGAGCACATACAGAAGCCAAAACAAAGGCAGGAATATTGCCACCGCCAAAGAGAGCATCCCAAGGACCAGAACCAAGGGATATAACCATCTAAAGATGCCAATAATACATAAAAAACAATTCACAATTTGCAAGAAATTCAAACTTTAAAAAAGTAAATGTCTTGCTCCACTACATTCTAGAGAGAGAGACTCATTATGACCAACTAATTCAATAACCTCAGAAATAAGCAGTCATTGTTTGGCCATAATGCCAACAGTTACTTGAAGACACTATACTACTACTAATACTAATAATAATACGAAACTAGAAGGAAATTAATGGATAGACAAGTTTAGAAGAACAGACGAAAAATTCCACCTAGGTTCCTTTTACCTTGTATTGTTTCTCAAAGTAGTTATTTTTCATACACAATGCAGTTTTTCAACCGTAATAAACTTTAAGCATCCTGTTCTAAAATGAAGTGCACTGGAATTTTATCCAAAAATACCGATACGGAAGAAGATAGGGGAGAAAAGGAGTTTAAGTGCATAGGAAAGACATGAACACCAAATTGCACCAACATAAAATATATATCATCATAAAAAGACACATGTAGCAGTGATAAAACTAAATAAACAAACAAGATAAAGGGCCTGCTCTCCGAGAAAGGTGGAGTAATAATTACCTGGGGAACAACAATTGCAAGATTTAGAACTCCTATAGCTAATCCTGCACACAATAAAGCAAACATCTTGAAATCAGAAACTTTAAAAGACCAAATATTAGGGATAACATCTACAACTAATACCAACCTTGGCCACCACCTGAATCAGCAGTCAACTCTGCTGTGACAGCAAAAGGAACACTATAGGTAATCTGCCACAAAAATAGAAAATTTATAATGTCCTAAAATTCCATAGATATTTAATAGAGCTAATAGTATGATTGCTTGAGATGCAAGGAAAAGGAATCTAGCATTAAAACAAAATAGTTTAAATGTGGAAATGAAACAATCCTTATACTTACTGCAAGTGGGAAACCAAGGAGAACAAACACAACCAAGGAAGCAATCTTGATTGTTTCACTTGCTCCTATTACATGTTCTATCCCTCCAGTATAATCTCGAACCGAAATTAGACTAATTATAGCAGTGCCAGCCATGCAAACAAAGACCACAAAATTGCTCACTGCCCATACTAATTTTGGACCCATCCAGTTACACATTGGTTCAATGAAGAAAGAGCTAATTCCAAGGACAACCTATCAAGCCATAAAAGCAATGTCAGATGACTTAAACCAATAATTCGGCAGGAAAAAATCCAGAGAGTCTAATTTAATAAAAGAAAAATGATAAAAAAGTGTCAGATCATCATCAGTATAGGTCGTGACAAATCTCTTATAAAATAAAAATATGCTCAATCTTGAGTTCTTACAGAATTCAATAGCAAACCAAATGCACCTTCTCTAACACCTTGATCATATAGATAAACTTCAGAAGCGTTCCCTTTTGGATCCCCATGATAAACTTCTCTCCCCATCCAATCCGTATCAAACAGAAAGAAGGGAAACCATGACAACTGCAGGTAGAGACAGGATAGAAGGAAACATAAGAAGGATTTCAAATGGGAAGCACAAACAGTAGAGTAATAGCATTCACAACTTATTTTGATAACACATAAATATCGGCAGAAACCTTTGCCGATAAACACTGCAGTACCTACCCAAGTGAGAGCCATTACAATCAGGACTGAATGCATAGCAGGTGGCAAATGCCTTAAACTTGTCAACAAGTTTACCAGTACTGCCCCAGGCCCATCCATTAAATTTTCAGAATGATCTTCCTCAGGTTTGAAATTCTCATGCTTCAGGTCTACTTCTTTCTGAATGTGATCCTCATTTCCCATACCATTGGGTTCATCAATAACAGATAAAGGCTTTGATTTTGAAAATTCAACACCATTTTGTTGTTGTTCATCCAATAAAGGAGCAGAATCTGACGTGTCATGATGTTGACTTGCAGTAGCAAGTGGAACCTCATTAGCAAAGTATAGGGTGACAAGTGTGCAAAATGCCAGAAACACCTGCAATTTTGCATTATGAGATTCCAGCTATTAAAAAAATTATGCATTAAAAACTAGGTTTAACAGCGTATGATTTAACTTGGCAGATATGCCAGCTGATGAACTCAGGCCATAATAGCACTGGATTTTTCTAACAGTGCTTCTCTTTGCTTTCTTTAAATAGTAAGGTGCGTAGAGATGTTGACCCATGAGATAATGCAGGTATACATGATGTTGCCTCATAAGATAATGCGAGTAAAGATGAAGTCATCCCACAAGAGAATTAAATTAATAAATATAAATGAACCGAAAAAAAAAAAAGAACTAGAAAAACTGGAGTATGAGTTTAGCAATTCTAAGATCAGTCATGCACTCATGCTTATGATTTCTAACATCCTACATAACAAGTAAAATATGAAGGTCCAATCAAACAGATTTTAGAAGTAACCTACCACAGCCACAAGAAATGCTGCCTTAAGATTGCCACAGGCTTCACAGCAAGCTCTACTTGTCAAGAAAGGGAACCATCTGCTTTGGTAAGAAAGGGTGAAATATTAATCAGCAGGA